GGCATGCACATGGGGCCACAACGGGCGCGACTCCTGGGTGCCTGGGTGTCGGGAGCGCGGCGCTTGGGCAAATTGCAAGAAATTCCAACGCAAGGCTATTCTTCAGTAAGTTGCAAGCAAGTCTCCAGCGCGCGACTCCAGAGCGCCGGGAGAGCGATTCCTGAATAAATTGTAAGGAAGTCCCTAGCGAGAGCGCGATTCCTGAATAAAAAGAGAGGAAGGCTCGGGCGGGAGCGGGGGTCCTGGCTAAATTGCAAGGAAGTCTCAAGCGGGAGCCGTTGTTGCTGTAACCCGGGGGCCAGGGGCCCAGTTTGAGCAGGAAGACTTTCCCTGTCAAAAAACATGGTGCGAGCGTCGAGGGGCACATTTTGATTGAGAAAAAACAGTATGCACCGGTGGGGGGGGATCAGCAATGACTATTCTTCAGAAATGAGAACTCAACAGCAACAACAGCAACAATCATCATGTTGCCCTCATGCGCGATGTTTCCACACGAAGCATGCGACCATCATGATAACCATCCACGTAATGGGGGACTCTTGTTCTGTAGCGGGTCCGTTATTCCCATTCCCAGATATCCCGCCCAATGAGATCTTGCAAACACCTCCTCCGAGGAATTTCAAAAGATCCCGCCTCGAAAACACATGCCCGCGCCTTGCTGCGCCGATGCGAGACCGCCAGTGGAATCCCAGCGAAGGGTAAAGCACAAGGATGTATCGAACGACAGGGTTGCCTTGGTGGGGATGGGGGCTGTCGGCGGTGAGGCAAGGACCTGGCCCTGAATAGAAAGGGGGGAAGTCTCGAGCAGAGCTGCTGTTGTTGTTGGGAGCGGCGCCTTTTCTGAAGAGAGTAGGGCGCTAGTCCAGCGCAAAATAAAACTAAGTCTCGAGCGGGAACGCTGGTTTTGTTGGGACGGCGGTTTTCGGCGGCGAGGAGGAACACAGCCTTGAGTAAGAAAGGAGGAAGCATCGAGCGGGAGCCGTGGTTTTGCCGGGACGGGGGCTGTCGGCGGCGAGGAACAGCACCGTCCCGATGAAAAAGAAAGGAAATCTCGAGCGGGAGCGTGTTCTTGCTGGGAGCGGCGCCAATTCAAAAGAGAGTAGGGCGCCAATCCAGCGTAAAACAGAAGGACGTCTCGGGCGGGAGCGCTGGTTTTGTCGGGGCGGCGGCTTTCGGCGGCAAGGAGGAACACCGCCTTGAGCAAGAAGGGAGGAAACATCGAGCGGGAGCCGTAGTTTTGTCGGGACGGGGGTTGTCGGCGGCGAGGAGCAGCACCGTCTTCAGGAAAAAGGGAGGAAGCCTCGAGCGGGAGCGTTGTTCTTGCTGGGAACGGCGCCAATTCAAAAGAGAGTTGGGCGCCAGTCCAGCGCAAAACGGAAGGAAGTCTCGGGCGGGAGCGCTGGTTTTGTCGGGGCGGCGGTTTTCGGCGGCGAGGAGGAGCACCGCCTTGAGTTCAAAAGGGAGGAAGCCTCGGGCGGGAGCGTTGTTTTTGCTGGGGGCGGCGCCGATGAGAGAAAGACTAGCGCGCCAGTCCAAGGTAAAACGGGAGGAAGTCTCGAGCGGGAGCGCTGGTTTTGTTAGGACGGCGGCTTTCGGCGGCGAGCAAGAACACCAGCCCTGAGTAAAAAAGGAAGAAATCTCGAGCGGGAGCGTTGTTGTTGTTGGGGGGCGGTTTTGGCGGTCCCCCAAACCGCTCGAACGTGAGCCTCATTTTCAGTGAAAATGAAGCGCCTTTAGGGTGTCTTACAATAACCATTGTTTAATACTTAGCATTCAACAACAACAACAACAACAACAACAACAACAACAACAACAACAACAACAACAACAACAACAACAACAACAACAACAACAACAACAACAACAACAACAACAACAACAACAACAACAACAACAATTACTAGCACGTGGGGACACTCCGTTCTCACCAGTGCCAGGGTTTTCATACGACGCCCGCCAATACCCCCACTTTGTGGGGGGGCCGGTTCAAGCTCTACCACATTTCCAAACGACTCTTCGCCACCACCCACACCCAGCTTCCCGCCCTATGACGTTCGGACACTTCACTTCGTGGCCTGCGGACGACCGTGGCTACTACACTGGCGCGTGGCTACTACACTGGCGGATTGTGGCCCCTGGCAGGCGCGCGAACGCCGTTGAAAGAGCTTGCGAAAGTAGCTCGCGCGAGCTCATGTAACATAAATGTTGAAAAACCATTGGTTTTTAAGGATTCGGACAGCGCGCGCGGGTAGAAATTTTGAAAATCCGTGCACGTGTTTTTCGAGGACCTACGGTGCGATTCGTGCGATTTTATGATACGCGGTGCTGAAATCCTTAAGAAACCCAATGGTGTTTGAAGATTTCGGCGTGCGCGCGCGAAGAAAAAACGAATGTGTCCCATATGGTATTATTTGACAGGGATGATGGCCCTGGCAGGCGCGCAACCGTTGTTGCAGAAGTTCGAAGCACGTGAAAAAGTTGCTCGCAAGAGCCCGTTTGACAGAAATGTTGAAAAAGTATTGGGTTTCCTAAGAAATCCGCAAGAGCGCGCGGGATGAATTTTTGAATTTTTTTTGAAAAACCATTGGGTTTTTCATGTTTTTATGTTAAAATCGCTACGAAAACTAAGGTTTTGGAAGGATTTCATCTTGCGCGCGCGAGTGTGCACTTCGTGTCATTTTTTGCAAAGGATTCTTGAAGTTTGGCTATGTTAGAACAAGACATGTCATTTTATATTGTTTTTTGACAGGGAAAGCGGGCGTCAACAAAACAACCGGATCCGGACTCCCCCGTTTTGCCTGAGACTTCCTCACGAAAATGATGAAAATGTGGCTGCGGCCTAGGCGCGGCGAGGGGGGCGTGCACCAGGGGGCCCAACAATAATTATTCTTTAGAAGTAATAATATTCAACAACAACAACAACAACAACAACCACAACCACAACCACAACCACAACAACAACAACAGCAGCAGCAGCAGCAACAACACTAACAACAACAACAACAACAACAACTACAACAACCCCAACCACAACCACAACAACAACAACAACAATAACAATAACAATAACAACAACAACAACAACAACAACATCAACAGCAACAACAACAACAATAACAACAACAACGACAACTACTACAACTACAACTACAACTACAACAACAACAGCAGCAGCAGCAACAACAGCAACAACAACAACAACAACCACAACCACAACCACAACCACAACAACAACAACAAACTGCTGGGGGCCCGCGCGGATGTCTTGGGTCGGCGCCACTTCTCGCGCGCCCGTCCAAAGAGAGAAAGCCCGCGCGGACCTCGGCACGATGATGCGCACGCCGCTTGTGGCCAAGCACGGAAGAGGAGGAGGAGGAGGAGGAGAAGGAGGAGCACGGATCCCGGGACCTCATCCTCCTCCTCCTCCACCACCTCCTCCTCTTCCTCCTCCTCCTAGCTCCTACTCCTCCTCCTCCTCCTCCTCCTCCTCCTCCTCCTCCTCATCCTCCTCATCCTCCTCCTCATCCTCCTCCTGTTGCACTTGGGGCGTCTCCCACCGTAAACCGTGATTGCAAGGGCGTGGCGCGCCCAGGGGCGCCTCGTGGGCGCCTCGTGCGCTGGGCGGGCGCGGCGAGGCTTCGCCTGGTGCCAACAGCGTGCCCGCCCATGGGCGGCTCGTGGGCGTTTCGTGGCGCTGGGCGGGCGAGGCCTCGCGTGGTGATCGCCCATGGCTGCGCGAGGCGGCCGCACCGCTTGCACCACACAGCTTGCACCGCAAAGCTCGCACCACACAGCTTGCACCACACAGCTTGCACCGCAAAGCCTACACCACACAGCGTACACAGCATAGCTCACACTATGCATGTTCCGATTTATGCATGTGTAGTAGCATAGCTTGCACCACAGAGGTTGCACCTCATAGCTTGCAACACACAGCTTGCACCACACAGCTTGCACCACACAACTTGCACAACGTAGACTGCACCACACAGCTTGCGCCACCGAGATTCCAGCACGTAGCTTACGCCACACAGTCCGCACAATACCACTTACACCTCCACATTGAAACGCACGGTGGCAAGCATTTCTTCTGATTCGTAGTAGTAGCATTGCTCTGATTAGTGTGATTAGTATTACTGTTATCATGAATACTAGCATTAGTCGGATGATCGTTATTATTGGTAGTATTATGGTATCAATTAATATCATTTCTATTATTATTACTATGAATCGTGATACCGGAGAAAAACCCAATCCGAATTTTGCTGGGGCTATGGGGCTATAGGACTATAGGGCTGTGGGGCTATGGGGCTAAAGGGCTATGTGGGCTATAGGGGTATAGGGCTATAGGACTATTGGGCTGTTGGGCTACAGGGTTGTAGGACTATAGGGCTATAGGGCTCTAGAGCAATAGGGCTGTAGGGCTATAGAGCTATAGGGCTATAGGGCTATAGGGCTCTAGAGCTATAGGGCTCTAGGGCTACAGGGCTTTAGGGCCATAGAGCTATAGGGCTATAGGGCTATAGAGCTATTAGGCTATAAGGCTATATGGGCTATATGGGCTATTGGGCTATTGGGCTATTCGGCTCTAGAACTATAAAGCTATCAGGCTTTATGGCTAATTATAGGGTACCCGGGCACCCCTGGGCACCTCTGGGCACCCCCGAGCACTGGGGCACCCGGGCACCCACGGGCATCCGGGCACCTGGGCACCCGGCCACCGGCCACCGAAATCCTGGGGCACCGGGCACCCACGGGCACCCGGGCACCCAGGCACCCGGCCACTGGCCACGGAAATTCTGCAGCACAAATCCTAACCCTTTCGAATCCGCTAGGACCCCTACAGAGGCAAGCTCTGATTGGATTAGCATTGTTAATCTTGTTAGTATCACTCGTCTTCTTAATATGATTCGCAATACTAATACTACGATGGTTCTTATTATTATTCTACAACATCAGCGTGTTTGTGTGTGTGTGTCTTATCCCCCAGGATCCGTGGCTTCCAGCGCCCGCAGCGCGCCACGGCGACCCTGGTCGCTGCCTGGCCGCGAGCCTGGCAGCGGCCACGAATGCCCGTGGCCGCCGCGCCCAGAAGCGGCAACCGAGCGACTCCGGACCATGTGCTCCACCTTGGCCTCGCGCACGATCGGCGCCGGCGGCGAGCCGACCACTTCCGTCCAGCCGAATGTCGGCGGCGACGCCGTGGCCGTCGAGCCAGCGAGGGACGACCGGTAGAGCTCGTGCGTCCAGCGGGTGCTCGAGGGGCTGCGCAGGTCCTCTGGCGGCTGCGGGCGGGCAGCTGGACGCCGCTCGCCCTCTGTGAGCCTTCGAGGGGGCCTCGTCGTGGCCACGGCTGGACACCAGTCGAACAGCTGGCCCCGGATGGGCTCCAGGAAAGGCCCGGGGATCCATGCGGGGCGGGTTCCGGCCGGGCGAGACCCCAGGATCTCCGGGGGGGCCCCCGCGGCTTCCGGAGCACACCTCGCGAGGCCCAGAGGGCCCCAGGGGCTCCAAGATGGAGCGACAGCTGGGGTTAGGTCGGGCCTGTCCCCCCTACAGGGGGACTCTCGGCGAAAAAAAAACATATTCAAAAAAGGCAAAAAATACTTTTAAAAATATAGTCCCCAGACTATGTTTGGACTATTTTTTGATTATTTTGGGGGTATTTTTTATTTTTCGTCGAAAATCCCCCTGTAGGGGGACAGGCCCGCCTGAAAGCTGGGGGCACCTTGGGCCAGGGGCACTTCTGGCAACACCCGGCCCCGCGCCTGCCGGGAAGCCTCCACGGCAGCCCGTGGGCCTCTCTGCCGGGGGCGGGCGGGGCCCCTGCCGCAGAGCACCCCCTCTCGCGAGGGAGCGGCCCGGGAGCGAGGCCCGCGGGGCCCGCAGGCCTGGGCAGATGCTGCGGCCGCCGCGCCCCCACGAGAGGCGAGCAGGGACAGCTCGCGGATCGGCGCGGCAGGCTGGGGGGTCCTGTCGAGCCCTCCGGCGCTGGAGGCCCCCCCGCCCTCTGGGCCGGAGGCAGAAAAAGCGGCGCAAGCATGAGCTGTCGGAGCTCTCTGAGTGTGTGGGTCGGCCGCCTTCTCTGCTTCCGCTCCTGGAAGGCATCCCTCCTCGCCCTGCCCCATTCTGCATGCCGCCGGGGTCCACCAGACACCAGTCGTCGGAGCCTCGGCGCAGGAGCGCGAAGGTGGTGGAGGGCTTGCGGAACACGTCGGCGCCGTTGCAGGCCATGTCTGTCCTGAGGGCGGCGTGTTCGTGTCGTGTCAACCCTGGCGTTGGTTTCAGACACCACGGGGATCGTTCAATCTCGAACGATCGGCCGTTTCCGAAACGTCAAAGTGTTCAGTATCGACCGGTTCTGGGTCGCCGGCAGCGTTCAACGTTGAACGCCGGCGGCGGGGTCGCTGCCAGTCGACACGACTCGAACCTACCGTAAGAGGGGAGGTAGGGGGGTGCGCGGGGAGCGGGGGGTGGGAGGGAGGGGGGGAGGGGGGGGGGGGGGGGGTGGGGGGGGGGGGCCAAAATCACGGCGCGAGCATGAGAGTCGACGACCCCTCCTTGAGGGGGAACAGGGGCTCCCCTCGCTCATGGGGAACAGAGGCTCTCCTCGCTCATCCCCCCTCGTGCTGCGTCCACCTCTTCACTCTCTACAGTTCTGCTGCACGTGCCACAGCCTGTGACACACGAGGAACCCGCGCGCTCCTCCTGACCAGGCCGCCCAGTGCTGCAGCAGGAGGGTCCCACTCCCCGCCTCGAGGGAGGGAGGATTGCCACAGAGGCGAGTTTACTCCACGGGCTCGTTGGCCTGTGCCAGCCGCCTCTTTTGCTCCTGCGCTCTCTGCTCCTCAAGCCTGGCTGCCCAACTCTCAGCATCCGCAGAGTTGATCACAAGCAGATCTGCCCCCTGAGAACTCAACGCCTCCCGAGCTCAGCACGGTCTCCCCGCCCAGCGCACGGAGACGCGAGAAGGCGGGGCCCGAAGCTCGGGCTCGATCTGGAGGTCCGGTGGCTTGGCGGGCCCGGGCTCACCCGCGGCCTGGTCCCTATACGTGCTGAAGGGCCCAGCCCGAGAGGAGTGTGTGAGCAGCTCGCTTCCTCCGCTCGTGCTTGGCAATCGGGGCAGGCGGGCGGCGGGCTGGAGTCGCACAGCGGCTTGGTCCCGCCTCATCTGAAGCCGCCAGTAGCCGTGCAAGCCAAAACAGTCGAGCCTTCGACCACTCGGCTGTCGTCAGCTCCAAAAATCGACGGCGCTCCTCCTGCCTCCTCCACCTTTTCCTCCTCCTCCTCCTCCTCCTCCTCCTCCTCCTCCTCCTCCTCCTCTTCCTCCTCCTCCTCTCCTCCTTCCTCCTCCTCCTCCTCCTCCTCCTCCTCCTCCTCATCCCTTCCTCCCTCCTCATCCTCCTCCTCCTCCTCCTCCTCATCAACAGCATCAACAGCAGCAGCATCAACATCACATCCACCATCAACAGCACATCATCATCAAGCACCATCATCATCATCATCATCATCATCATCACATCAATCATCATCATATCATCATCAGTCACATCATCATCATCATCATCAGCATCAGCATCATCATCATCATCAACATCATTCTCATCATCAGCAGCATCGCATCATCATCCCATCATCATCATCATCAATCATCATCATCATCATCATGATCATCATCATCATCATCATCATCATCATCATCATCATCATCAAGATCATCATCATCATCATCATCATCATCATCCTCATTCGCATCATCATCATCACCATCATCATCAGCAGCAGCATCCTCATCATCATCATCAGCAGCAGCATCATCATCATCATCAGCAGGAGCAGCATCATCAGCAGCAGCATCATCAGCATCAGCATCAGCATCAGCATCAGCATCAGCATCAGCATCAGCATCAGCATCATCATCATCATCATCATTCATCATTCATCATTCATCATCAGCAGCACCATCGTCATCATCATCAGCATCAACACCATCATCATCATCATCATCATCATCATCATCATCATTAGCATCATCAGTATCATCATCAGCAGCAGCATCGTCATCATCATAATCAGCATCATCATCACCATCATCATCATCACAAGTGTCAGCACCATCAATACCAGCATCATCATCATCATCGTAATCATCAGCATCATCATCATCATCATCACCATCACCATAACCATCATCATCAGCAGCAGCATCATCATCCCTCCTCCTGCCTCCTCCCTCCTCCTCCACCCTCCTCCCTCCTCCCTCTCTCCCTCCCTCCCTTCCTCACTCCCTCCCTCCCCCTCTTCCCTCCCCCCTCCTCCTCCTCCTCTCACTGGCCGGAGACCGCAGGAACTGAGGAGATCTGGATTCGAGCGATGCGCTTGGCTGCGTTGTCCCTCCCAGCTGGTGCTCGCCAAGGGTCTGCTCGGGCCCTCCTGTCCGGGGGCCTTTGGCCCCCGATCGGAAATTCCAGGCCGGCCTCTGTGCGTCAGGTAAGTGTAAGTTTTGTGGAGCTGAGCGGGGCACGATTGGCCACCAGTTTTATGATTGCCCGTCTGCCTTTGCCTCGCAGGAGGACGAAGAGCAGGCTCAGTTTCCGTTTCCTGACGATGTGTGGCAGCAGAGGCAGGCCCTTAGGGAGCAGGGTATCTCTCCTCTGGGGGGGTCGGATTGGGATGTGGTTCCTCTCTTGTACGGCCTCCCTCAAATCCCTGTTAGGCTGCCGCCGCCGCTGTCCCATCCTCCCGTGCTGCAATGGGGTCTCACGGAAGGCACCTGGGGCCCGCTCCTCTTCACCGACTGCAGTGGGTTGGCTGGCGCTTGTCCCGAGGCGGCGAGGTGCGGCTGGAGCGTGGTTGAGATCACGGAGGATGGCTGGCATCTCCGAGCGAAATTCGGCGGGTTGCCAGGTGTTTTTCAAACAGTGCCTCAGGGTGAGCGGTGGGCTGGCCTTGAGGCGACGCGCGTGGGCCCTCCAAACCTCACGATCATTAGCGATCACCTCAGTTTTGTTCGCGAGGGCCAGCGCTGGGACCCTGAGCTTGAGTGCGGCCTCGCGCGCCACGCGTCGATCTGGCGAAAGATTTTCAGACTGTCTGAGCGGTCGGGTTCGCGGCCGGTGATGGTCTGGACTCCCGCGCATGGGTCGTTGGAGCAATTGGTCGACGAGGGAGCGTCGGCCGAGGAGATCCACCGTTTCATGGGAAATGCCTGGGCTGAATTTTTCGCCAAGCTCGGGGCCAGGGACGTCGCTGTTGCACAGCTCGCGGTCGATGCCCTCCAGCATTCTGTAAAAGAGTGCAAGTGTACGTTTGAGTTTCTGTCGAGGGCTGTTCAATTAATTTGTGCGCGTCCTGAGGCTCAGGACTGGGATCCTCCTCCGCCCAAGCCGGTGCCGGTGAGGCGCGATAAGCTCGTCCTTATCGCCCATGACCCCGTCCCCCTGGCTCCTGGCTCGTCCGCATTGCAATGCAGACTTTGTTTGGCCGTGGCTCGGTCCCCTGCCAGTGTCAAGACGCTTTTGAAGCCAGGGGCCAAATGTGACCCGTCGCCTATGCTGCAGGCGCTCGCCCTAGCTGCTGAGTAGCTCGGGTGGCGTAGCCAAAGGGACGGGGAGGCTGCGGGGGGTGCTGCTGCTGCTGCCGACGGGGCGGTGGGGAGGGGAATCCTCTTCGAATGTGATGGCCACAAGGTCCAGCGTTCGGGGCCATTTTTGTTCTGTGTTCGGTGTGGAGCTCGAGTGGCCATCGGTTCTTCCAAAATCGATGCCCTAGAGGATGTCTGCCCCTCCCGCCCCCCGAACCCCGCCCGCCGTAGAGCCAGGGACTGGCTCGCCGACGGGCGGCACACAGCAACTGGAGCTACGATTTAGTTCAATTCGTTGGGTTCTCCGGCGTGTGATGGTAGCCTGACCTCGCACGCAGCACCTCTTACCTGTTTAAGTTGTGCTTCCATATTCCTTTTATTGCCCAGAGGTGGTTTCGTGCTTGCATGACTCCATTTTCTATGCTGCGTCCTGCGTTCTTCTCCTCCTCCTCTTCTTCCTCCTCCTCCTCCTCCTCCTCCTCCTCC